AGTTCATGTAGCTGCTCCTAAAAGCTGTCCTTGACTGCATCGTGGCTGCAGTCTGTAGCGGCCTAGGCGGAGACGACAAACAAGGCAGCTTAACGTCTCGACGCCTGCTTACATTGCATGAACCTCTTAGTCGGACTGCGCATAGCCGACTGTTGACTGGGATCCAGTCAAGCAAAACTGATTCAGCTCTGGCACTCAATACAACCCCAAGAGCTGGAGCTTCGGTGGAGTGAGAGACGGTTGCGATCGCAAGACATTGAAAACCGGGAATTTGGCTCTTACTTCCATCCGTTGCGAGAAGTGGGTCGTTTGTGCCGGTGACCGAAGAAGACATAATAGTACATATAGGTGAAAGACGGGAGGTGAGCGGTCTGTGCGTCGAGCTTGAGTTAGCAGAGAAGATAGGCATAGCAAGAGCAGTAGTAAACAGTGTGGTCCATTATTTGTCAGTGGGCGTGATATTACGCCGTTGCCCGGGCCGTAGTAGAGGGTTGTCTTAGGAGGCCCTACTCCGAGCCTTTGATCAAAGCTCAAACCTACCAGACAGCAGTGTGATGTAAGGCTTCGCAACCCGTTGTGAGCCGGTAACCAAATAGATGGTTCATGCGCCTTTCGGTCCGTGAAGGACCAGGGGCGCAACACACCCCTGAAGTACAATGCCTCTCAGGGAGGGGAAAGGGGCAGTGACTTTATTTAGTGGCGAGTCACATCCGCCACGTCGCGGTGTTGTTAAACAGACATGTGTGGCTTTTTATAGGGAGAACGCTTGCCAAGCAATAACCCAACACGTCCTGGAACACTGCCGCTGAACCATTTGCTGCAAGGGGAATACCCGAACCACCTAGCTGGCACCAGGAGGAGGTTGTTCGGTAAGCCAGCAATTGAAGCTTGGTACTCAGGGTTGTACTCAGTCAGTAGACACATATTGCTCGATACTGCCTATGAAACTAAGAGTCAAGACAATAGTCCGCCTAAACTCAACAAGGCAGAGAAACGTGAATGAGGCGGACGCTAGCCGACGGAACGCAAGAGCTGACTACACGGTCAACTCATGTGGCCCTTTCGACTTCTGACGTTCAAATCGGTAACTGTTCAATAATCACCTAGAAGTTGCCTGCATAGATAGCACTATTGATGTCGTCTAGCCTGACGATCAAACATCTACAGATAAATCACTTAGCTCGGGGAACAAACGAATACCCTCATCCATCTCCATATTTACAAATGTTCTCACAAATTTCCAGTCTATCCACAGTTTATGGAAACTCTTGAAACATTTTGCTGAGCACTTTCAAAGAAATTTACTTGGCCGGAATTCTTAGATCTCTCCCTGACCAGCGATCGCCATGCTGCAGAGACTGACCCTTTGGATCCGCACTCTCACTCAGACCAGACTGTTGGGGTTGATTGAAGTCGCGGGACCAGATGATCTTCCTCCAACCCTCTTCAAATTTGGGGGGCTCTGCTTGTGTTGTTGATTTACAAAAATTACTAGTGAAATTGTGGGAACACGAAACTGTCCCAACCGACTGGTACTGCTCCGTCATGGCCCCAATTTTCAAGGGAGTCTCACGATCGGAATGCGGCAGCCATAGAGAAATCTGTGTTATCTCCATTGCCTCAAAATTGCTTGCCTCTGACATTCATCGCAGACTGACTGACACTCGTAAGTAGCAAGCCGACTTTCGTCAACGACGCGGCTGCATCGATCACCTCTGCGCCAATTGTTTGCGCACCGTCTTGTATATTGGTGGCCTATCGTCACCGTGTTTCTCGACATCAAAGGTGCCTTCGATTCGGTGGATCGATGTGACCTTTGGGACTAGCGACTCAGGAAAGTGACGGGCGAGGAGTATGTAAATATTATCCGAACGCTTTAAGCGCGTAGCTAGGGCAGAGTGAGGGCTTACAACGCTGTCACCGCTCTTTAATACCTCCAACGGTATGAAAGAAAGATGCCCGCTTTCATCTTTCCCCTTCAACTTCGCTGTTGACGTGGCCATGGGGATCGCGTCCACAGCACATGACATAGTACGTGTGTAGCTGCTCCCAGGTGAACAGCTTCTTGATTTGGATTACGCTGACCACATTGCCCTCACATGTGACACCTCACAAACGTGCCAAGCTGCACAGGACAGATTAGCACTGTCTGTCAGCCATTTCCAGCTTTACAGAGGCGTAGTAAGGAGAGTTGAATGGTATAAGTAGAAATTCGTCACATCTAGGCTCACTCAGACAGCCGTCGCACGCCCGGAAAAGCACTGTACGCGCGTTTCATCCTTTCTGGAATCAGGGGCTACTCTGTCCTCTGCACGGTAGTAAAGTGCAAGTCAGTGGATTGTGAATGGCGCTATATCACATCTAGTAACTTATTCACGATAGTCGTTACCGTCACTCGTAGCTCAGTGGTCTCAACCACGGACTGTCAACAGTCAATTTGCGGGTTCTACCCCTATCAGCGTCCGATGAAATGCGCACTGCTGACGATTCCCGAAAGGATGAAATGTGCGTACAGTGCTTTTCCGGCCGTGTGACGGTTGTCTGAGTGAGCCTAGATGTGACGAATTTCTACTCATTTCCAGCTTTACTTTGCACCCTCGAATTGCAAAGCTTTTCTCGTAGAGTTGTAGGGACCGTTTTCTGCTGGCATTCGAACTGTTCGCTGAGCCTGGCACCTTTGTTTCAAGCTGACGAAGCTCAGGGAACAGTTCGACTGCCACAAGAACAACATGTGGTACCAATATTCGCTCTTATCACAAACCGTCTCTTGCGCTGGCCCTCGGTAGACATCAACTAGAAGTCGTTCAGAAATTCAACTACCTAAGCAGTTGTATCAGCACCTGTGGAATCGAAGATGAAGTCACAAACCTTATAGCAAAAGCACGGTTGTGAAACCGGGCCCCTTAGATTCGCAGGCACGAAGGTCCTAGTTACGTTTGACACCGGTGCAGTTCCGGATTTCAGCTATTCTCCGACCTTTGTAACTGGTTTGCAAATGTTTCATTACCAAATGAGGTGACTTCATCTGTGCGCTATTTCAGTCCGCTCATTGGCTTATATCTGGTGGGAACACCGTGTTCGGCGCCTTGTTTATGGCACAGGTAGTGGAACTGATCCAATCCTCACCGTTATATTACGCACCAGGCCCCGATCGTAGGGCCACATGTTGCGCATGTCACCCACCGACTCCCTCGACTTGCGTTTGCGCGCTGGGGTGTGGATGAAAATGATTAATGATCAAACCACTACTCGGTCAAGAGGAATGTAGGTCCTTAGTACGAAGTTAGCCTCGGTTGGAGCCTCTAGGCTTGTGCTTGGTGTCGGAAAGACGATGAACACGTGTTGATGGATACACTTGTTGACATGACAGGACGCTGACTAAAGTGCCATTTGTGTTATGAGTCTTTGTCGCTTTCTCTCCCGCTTAGCCTCCCCTCCAACCACGACCTCATTTTCTAGGCATAATCTAACTTCCTTTTCGACATAATAACCGGCTAGTAGATTTACGGAATGATGCCCATCCGTCACTGGTGGCTCAGCTGGCGTGCCTCTGTTGCGTGTTTTTTTCTTTGCTTATTTGTTACGGCACAATGGCTGAAGTGTGATAATGTTTCTACCAAAACCGTAGCTAGGTTTATCCTGTCACCGGGTGCATAACACCAACGCTTCGTTGCCGCACAACCATCACTAGTCACTTGCGGGCTACTGGTAATGCCAGGTTGTCCGTCTGACTACCAGCTTATATTTTGAATTCCGGCACCACAACTGCCTCAGCGGCGGCATTATTCAACATTTGAACTGTTCCTTCGCTGCCGTGCAATTACGCTGACTTTGGTGCAGGAAAAGCGATTGAACCGCTCCGCACCATGATATCGCGTACCAGGCTCCGATGGCTGAGCCACGCGTTGCGCATTCCAGCACACCGACTTCAGCAATATGCATTGTTTGCGCGCCAGGGGTGTGGTTGGAAGAGTAGGAGAGAGGCCAAGCGATGACTTGCTCGAGAGAAATGCAAACCCTCCTTTGAACTTGGCGTCAGTTGGTGCATCCCGACTGCTTAGCTAAGGACGATGAACACTTTTGGTTGGGTACACTTGCTGATGTGGCTAGTAGGCGGTCCCAGTGACTGCGTTGTGAGTTTCTTTGCCCACTCCTCTCCTTTAGATTCCCTTTCCGATTCCGACCTCACACTAAACGCATAATATAATATTTAACATCATATTACTTGGTTCGGAAACTTTTCTCTAGTGTAATTTTTTAATATCTTATCATTTTGTATCGCGGCGCATTAGCTGACGTGTGTTTCTCACCCTCAGCCAACGTGTATTGATGATGATGATGATGATGATGACACTGTCCTCGGAAATGAGGAGTACTGCGAGGGATGGATAGATCACTTAGTGTGACACCATAATTCACTAATTTAGGCATTCAGTAGGGAGAAACTCGAGGTTTTAGATCGGTGACACGTATGCTGCAGCTTCACTTTCTGAACTCAGTCAGGTAGCTCAGTGATTTGCGTGTTTGATTTGTACTCCGCCGGTAGCCGGCTCGATCTTGTTTGTGTTTAGGTGGCTTTGCATTATCCCTATCCCATACGTAGCTGCTGGTGGCACGAGGCGTTTGTGCGAGATACCAGCATACTGCTGATGCCTATTTGCGCACTTGATTTGCCCTCCCTTTTTATCCTTCCTGAATTTTCTTACATACTTGAACTTTGCTAGCGCTTTTCATTTCCGCCAATCACATTGTTCTCAACTATGTTTTTCTGTTACCACACTTTACCTTTACACGTCCCATGAGATGCACGTTCTGCGCTTAGGTCTCAATACACGATTGCTTAGACGCCTCGCATTTTCTCTGCTTGTCTACTATACTGCATCCATGCATGTTTTGATCTAACTTGAATGGCACACATTTCGTCTTCTTTTTAGCTCGTTAGAATAAAGTGCCGCACTCCATATGGATGAGAAGACACCTCTCCTCTCTACTGGTTGGTTATGTGTTACCTTAGCATATTTCAAGACAACGCAGGACAACAAGCCCCTTCAAGGCCTTCGGTTGAGCATGTTCAACCTAGTGCCGGTGACAATGGGGCCACTATAAACTGTCAGGTTTGCAACCATGTCATATCATTTGAAAACCGCGAGAAGCAAATGGTCGTTAAGTGCCCTGCATGTTCGGAAGCAACGGTGAGCTTTTATCTACAGCACTGATGTCTCGTAGCCTATCAAAGGTCCTCCACTTGGCAAACAATATGTTCGCTGTCCGTGCAACTGTCTGCTTATATGCAGCACCACTACAACTCGAGTCGGGTGTCCTCGCGCGAATTGCCAAAAGGTTATCGTTCTGGTTGATGTGAGTCTCAAAGTGTACTTTAGTCCACCTGTTTACTTTCTTCCTTTCAGTTTGTTTATTTTTTTAAACTGGTGTTAAATTAACCTGGGAATTTTCTAGAATCTAAAATGAGAGCGAACGATAAAGCGCACGGCATCAGATATGGCTTATGGTGGCAATTATTAACTCAGTCAACGTTCTAGGCAAATGTTTAGCTACCAACGGTAAAGTGCACGCGGGATATGGTCAGCTAGTGTAACAGAAGGTGCGATGTGTGGTGTTAAGTGTTGTTCGTTCGTGAAACGTTGTCACTACATACTACTCCAACAAACGTCCTTTTCGTATCCGACCAGTTTCTCCTGGAGAGAAAATCACTCGTGTAGGGACATTTGCCTTGTTCTCTAGTTACTTTGAACCGCCTCCTCGGTGTGTCAGCCGAGATTTGCGGATTTACCCTGTTACAACATTTGGTTTGACGGCAGTGTTTCAGGAAGTTTTCGTCTGGAAACTGTCCTTTCTATGAAAAGCAACATATGTCCGTCTGACAGCACTATGATGTGTCTGATGTGACTTGTTACTAAATAGGTCCTTTACCCTTTTACTTCTCCCGGTGGAGCCTTGTCTTCCAGCAGACTTATACTAAATTGATCCGAATAATTGTGCAATTTTGGTGACTTACCAAACCGAAAACTTGTGAACTGAGAATTCTGGTACTGGCTTCTGATTTGTGCAATTTCCAGAGTTTGTCCGGCTGCATTTCGCACAGGTTGTTTAGGAGTGATGTTCCCTATATCAACTCCCTACTTCGACTTGGTCAGCAGGATGTTATTGCGCCCGTTGATGAATCCATGTATTACGCTGCTGCTTGATCTAACTCTGTTCTGGTCGTATCCCATCCGTCTCTATCGCACGCTAACCATTCACCCCTTATTGATTTCCGTTCCTCGGTTTAATCACCGCCTATAAACTTCGGCATGAGGCTGTCTTTCGATTCCTATTTTCTTTTCGGCTGACAACTGTTATGATCACCAAGGTCGCGCCGGGCCGCTCTGCTTGCTGTACGAAAACCTGACTGATTCGATTGGCCGATCAAGTAGACAAGGTTTCCGGTACCCGTTTAATAACCACCAGACATTAGATAATTACATAGCGCAGACCACCGATACTGGTGAATTCATGATGCCTTACTTGAATGTTCTCCATTCTTTTCTATTGTTCACTTACCAACAATTGTATTATATTATCCTAGAACATTCTTTTAATCAACAAATGCAATTATTCTATTCGATTTCTAGGAATGAGTTGAAAATTGGTCCGTGTAAGGTTTACTGATCCATCCATTGAGATGTGCTCCACCTAACATCTCTCTGTTTATAGTCTGGGATTGACCGGTAGCGGTGTAACAGACTCGACAACAATGCTTTCATCGTCTGGGCCCACAATCATGTGCAGATTTTGGTGGAGTGATGGGCTTATCTTGATGATTAGCCTCTGTCATTGACAGCTTGAACTCACCCAGAAGTCTTTTATGAGGTATCGTTAGATCATTTTCTCTACTGACGAATGATGTGTTGCTCCTGAGTTGCTTGTTGTGACTAACCCGTCTATCATCACCTACGGCCGGTTCATAGCAGACAGGTACATGCCAGCTGAGCCACCAGTAGTGGATGCGCATCGTACCGAAAAGGTACAAGCCGGCAACTATGCAGCAAAAATATTTTATTCTGCAAAATATTTATTATGCTAAGAAATGAGCTTTTTGTTGGAGAGGGTGGCTAAGGGGAATGTGGAGAGAAAAAGAAACCTGCAGAACCGTTGCTTATCCTCTGTGGTGGTCATATCATCAAGGAATTGTTTAATGAAGGGTTCATAGTATTGCGTTGGCAGGATACTGTCAGGTTACCCAAGCCTATACAGAACGATTAGGGCTCTCAACCAAAACCTTTGGTTCCAAATCCTGACCGCGAGGCTGAATTTCTCTGGCTTCTAACCATTGACCGATCTGGTATGAGTGGCTCTGAAGATGCAAAAAAGCACCATCCAACATAACTCAATGGATCTCTGAGGCATGCAAACCATCTCACAGGGGTAAGCTCCAAGAAGTTTTGTTGTTCCGATTTTCCAACTTCTAAATGTCGCGGTGTGTCGTGATGTCTTCGGTTGTACTGATGCTCTATTATTCCATTTTTCCAGAGTTCGGTCTATCAAACTACCTTATCAGATCAAATTTCCTTCGAGACCTTCTGAGTAGAAGCGATACTGTCAAACATTTTACATCAGGTGTCTGTGGATTAGGCGTAATCCTGTATGTTATCAGTATGGTCTGTATGACATTTTGAATAGGTCCGTCTGTCTCAGCTTTAGGCAGTGCCCTATTGGAGGTATCCACAAATCTCTCAGCTTGCCTGTTGGACTGCGGATGATAAGATGAACACATGCTCCATGCCATGTGACACGCAAAATTCAGTAAAATGTGAAGAAGTTCCATTCGCCGATACCATCGTTTTATTACAACCGAACCGGCTGAATTTTTACCTGAGGGTGGTGCTCGTGGCTGATGTTTAAATGTTCCACATTCGGGAGATCTCAGGCTACGTGCTACATGCATCGACAATAGATGAGAAGTTCCGTTCTTTTCTTTGCTTTTCAAAATCAACCTGGACCCTTTACTATAGATTCATGCGCGTCTGCTTGGGGAGTAGTCCTCATTACCGCGGTGATTTTGCTGCTATTGCACACTTTTAACATTGCATTTTTACCCCTTAATTCGAGAACCCAGAAATGGCCAATACACATCTCTTCTCACTGGGGTCTTCATCCTGTCGGAACCGGGATGCACAGCTTGTAACTTTTGTAAGAATTTGGATTACAGTTTCTCTGGGATGACAACACGTTCACCAAACAAGCTACAGTCTGGGACGACGGAAATGCATTTCCTCTGGGACGATTGTTGTAGCTGTAAATCCTAACTTTTTCGTGGCCACTACGAATCGTAAAACTTGCTCACTTTTGATAGCAACGGGCCCTCTAAAGTGTGGTCTCATATCAGACTGAAAGTTATTTGGAACCGGCTCATAGTATCTGAGACCATACAATTGACTTCCTTTTCTATAGAGATGTTAGCATCGACCATGTCTACTGACTAGTGCTGTTCGTCCAACAATCGTAATAACGCATCCACTTGATAATTGTCGCTTTTCGATCGGTTTTTGGTGTTGAAGTAATACCCCAGCAAACTTGTCGCCCAGCTTTGCAGGCGGTTGCTCTTATGTACCTGACTTCCTTCTTACAGAATATTGCAAAAGGCGGTTCGTGATCCGTTAGTACGGTAAGATGACGGCCATGTAGCATTTTGTGGAACTGCTTCACTACAAACATGACAACAAGAGTCTCCTCGATTTGTCTATAATTTCATTCGACTTCAAAGGGTCAGAGGCGAGTCAAAGGGCGAGTGGCATGAGCGACTGGCTCCACAGACTCTCTGGAAAAATGTGCGAGATGACGGCAGCAACTCCGTAACTGGGTGTGTCCGATTCCACGACTATTGGCAGCTTTGCATTGTAATGCGATAGCATCAATTCTGAACTGAATGACCATTTAAGCTTGTCGAACCTTTCGAGACATTTGGTGATCCAGACCTACGGAACAACATCGAAAATCGGTTTAGTTGTCAATGTAGATCATGCTTGGACGGTGGGTAGGTACTGTAGTAACTCACCTTAGCAAGGAAATATCTTAATGTCGCTATGTCTTGCCCTTGCCCGCCTTGGTGTTTGCCAGATTAGGTCTACTTTGATCAGGCACAAACCCGAGGTATTTAATGGAGGTCATGAAAATCTCACAGTTTCTATTCTCAGTCGAAATTTCTACTCCGATGTCACCTCAAGCACGTGTCCTGTTCGTTGGCGTTCTTCCTGAAAAGATCCTAAGACAACATCATCATAATTATATTCGTCAGCTACTGTGCTGCAATACATACAAGAAATAAAAAGAAAAAAGCTTGCGACGGATGCATACCAGCTGAGCTACTCGTAACCGATGGACGTCATTCCGGAAGGCTACCAACCGGCTATAATGCACCAAAAAATTTAATCAGCCAAATTATGTTATGTTAAGAAATGAGATCGTGGTTGGAGGTGGAGGCTGAGGGATGGGAAGGGACAAAGGAACTCACAGCAAGACATTATCCATTTGAACTAATGCTTCGCTGCTGTACAACCACGATGACCTACGGAACAAAGAATACTAAGAGAGAAGAGGGACCTAGCGTAAAACCTCAATGCCTTAACCAAACACTTAGATTCAACGCACATACACTCTGTCAAAAACATACCATCACAAACAGCTGGCTATCTTGCGGACGTAAGGTGGCTTCGGTGAGACAACTTCCTCGCGGCTTTCACTGCCCGTATCATAATCAGCCATTACCCCGCAGATAACTCAGCACCAAACACAACTTAAACAGGCAGTCCGACTAGGAGACAATAACAGACTCGCCTTTGGTGCTGACTACTAGCCATGTCCTGTAAAGACTCGAGCCAACCCCAGGGTCTACACCTTAGCTATAGGTGGAAGATATCTCGGCTATTGTACCGTAATACGTAAGCAATGAAGAAGAAAAAACATGCAACAAGGTATGCCAGCTGAGTCGTCAGGTGGGTATCGTACCGGAGATATACCAGCCGATTATTGTGTCGCAAAAGAAATCATACAGCGTCTAGGAAATGAGACTGTGCTTGAAGGGAAGACTAATCGGAATGTTAAGGGGCAAAGAAACAACCCAAATGCCACTGACCTTGGCTCCTGTCCATGTCAACTAGTGTATGCAGCCAAACGTGTTCATCGTCTTTCCGACTCCAACCAGGAAGCCGAATGGCTCCTATCGAGGCTTCATTCCTTTTGATCACGTCGTCGCTTAGCCCCCTCCTCTTCTTCCATCCACACACCGGCGCGCAAACAACGCACGTCGCGGAGTCAGTGGATAACATGTGCAACACGTGGCCCTGTGATCGGAGGTTGTG